AGGGTGTCCTAAAACTCCCGCATTTGGAGTATACTACGTGATTCTCTGTGCTAAAAGAAACAACTTTTTTTTTTAACAAAATTGCGATGAGTAGTTTTTACAGTAGATTAAAAGTGACGAATGAGCGCGCATATGTTTACGCGTTGTCATTAATTGATTACATTAATCATGATTAGGTATATATACTACTGTGATCAAATATAAACGAGATTTTTATTATAGAGTGAAAAATCTTTATTTATTCTTCAAAATCAAATTCGTCGCCTTCAAAATAATCTCCTCCCGATGCAATACACTTATGCCAACTTTTTCCAATCCTCGAAACACTCTGAAAACTCTTCTTCCGGAATGGCCTTCAATACCTTCTTCGTTTCGGCTTGTATCTCCTCAATCGATTCAAAACGGTGTCCCCGGAGAGGTCTTTTGAGTTTACTGAATAGCCAGAAGTCACATGGTGCTAAATCAGGCGAATACAGATTGTAGAACGATATGGGTCGAGTTTTTGACGAAATGGTCACGAAGAACCAGTGCAGTGTGAGATGGCGCATTATCGTGGTGCAAAAACCATGAGTTGTCTGCCCATAAATCTGGCTTCTTGAGGCGAATAGCTTCACGCAAACGACACATAACATTCAAATAATATTCCTTGTTGACAGTTTGGCCCGGCGGAAGGAATTCATAATGCACCACGATAATCGAAGAAAACTGTTAACAAAACCTCGATTTTTGAGCGACTTTGGCGCGATCTTTTTGGTCTTGTCTCATCTTTTGCACGATATTCGCTCGATTGGTCGGTTGTTTCCGGGTCGTATACATAGATCCAAGTCTCATCTCCAGTTATCATGCATTTCATTTTGTCCTGGTAGTCAGAAATCATTATTTCACACACTTCAACGCGACGCTGTTTTTTCAAAAAATTGAATGTTTTCGGACGACATAACGAGATTTGACTCTTCTCAAGCACAAATGGTCTTTCAAAATGGTCTGGACTGATCCAAATGTTTACAGTATCGGCAAGTTCTCTAATTGTCAATCGATGATTTTGGAACACCAAATCCTTGATTTGCTTCACGTGTTGTTCATCAGTTAATGTTTTTGGTCGTCTTTGATGTGGTTCATTTTCTACGCTTTCTCGACCATCTTTCAACATTTTATACCAAATACTCTTGATCTTGATAGAGTCTGGTCACCAAAAGCTTTCTGCAACATTCTGAACGTTTCAGTAGCAGAAATTTCATTCCGCAAACAAAATAAAATACAATTTCTTTGCCCAACAGAATCACACATCGTAAAAATCGAAAAAAATACTTTTGGATATTCACAAAAACGAGCGTTCACTATTAAACAAATGAAAAGAATGACATGAAATTTCACACAGATGTCAAAGACAGTATTACCAACTTAATAAAAAAAAATATTTGTCAGAATCGATGAACTCGTGCAGTTTAAATTTAAAAATCTCGTTTATATTTGATCACAGTAGTATATATATATATATATATATATATATATATATATATATATATATATATATATATAT